TCCCAGTATCCCCAGCGTAGTTCCCAGCCTGTTTGCTAACAACTCCCCTTTGATCGCCTCCGGAACCGCTTGTAGCAACATAGACGCCGCCCGCTTGTCAACTCGATGCCACTTCGGCTCTCTCAAAACCTCTGACATGTAGTCCTCCGCCTTCAGGTTGAGCTTCTTCACCGCGGACGACGTGACGAAGGTCTGATAGAAATTGTCTAGACATCTCATCGTCTCGGCCCACCAAGACGAACTTCCATCAGTAAGGTCCCCCATGGGACCCGACAGCCCGTGCAACCAGTCCCCAACATTGATCGCCGCATACTCATCCGCCTCCACCAACTTCGGCAACTCAGAACCACTCGTACCCGGCCTTATCGTTTCTGGACGCGCCGCTTGAAGGCCTAGCTGCATGGTCATCGCCGCCTGCAGCTGCGTCATGCCCTTCAGGAGTGCTTCTAGCTGCCTTTCGCCTCCTCCCGTGCCAGTCCCTGCGCCCATATCTCCATCGTCCTCTCCTTGGACCGGCTGTAGGTTCGCATTCGTGACATAGGGAAAGGACTCGTGACCACGCCCATCATGTACGACTGGACCACTGGCCGCTGTAGATGCATGCTGTACATAATTCGAAAAACGACCCTCCCGTTCGCGATTGTAACCCGAAAGTCCAGGTGGATTGCCTCCGGGTTCAACACTACTAACATAACCACCCCCGGCACGAAGTCCTGAAGCTGCTTCCTGCGGCCCTCCATCTTCGCGTCGAAAGCCTGGTATATCCTCAGCATTCTCATCACCGCGCCCTGGTAGTCCCAAAGGATTGCCGCCATGTACAGTGTGAGCTGCTGCATTGCCTTGCCCCTCAGACCCTCCGAAACGTCCCAGTAGCTCCGAAAGATAACCTCGAGGTTCACTTAGGCTCCGTGCTCGTTGCTTTTCTCCGCGCTCTCCGTCTCGTCCATCTTGGCCTGCAGGATTTCCTCGTAGTCCTCCACGCGGCCCCGAGGCGTTCATTGACCC